CCCGCCGCCGGTCGCAGCCTAGGCGCGGGGCCCGGGGGTGCCGCGCAGGGCCCGGAGGGGCCCGCGCAGGTCCCGCCTCTATTAATCATATCTTAAAACTTACCTTGTGGGTGTTTGGAAGCAAGAGTCTCACATACACCTGTACCTTTGGTGCCCACCAGTGGCACATGAACGATGTGCTGCTGAAGAGCAGAGTAGCCCCCAATGGTCTGTGTAGGACTTTGTGTCCTACACACGGGAGGTCCTAGCTGCTCAGTGGTCAACTGCCCCTTTCAGTCTCACTTTGTAGCAGAGACACCGAGATGCAGAGAGAGCAGCTGAGGTGACTTTTGGTAATAAATTGTAGCCATTTGCAAGGATTCATGATGCAAAGCTAACTTAATTTGGGCCAAAATTGGGTAATACAACTACCATCACAAAAATGAACTCAGTCACAAAGGAAAACCTCAAAGATCTGACATGTACTCACATCAAAGGAGCTCTAAATACATAAGGTCACGTCTACACTCCAGGGAGTCCTATCATGGCAAGGGATAAGCTGAAGCCTATGAATCTATGAACTCAAGAGCATACTGGCAGTTTAAAAAGGACCAAGACCAAGTGGAACATTGTTTTCTAGGTCAATCTTTAGTATAAATATAAGCTAACATGAAGAGCTCCTATCATCTTCAGAGTGGCCCGTGTTTGAATCTCTTTAACAATCCTCTAGAAAAGAGTTTCTCAGCTGCCACTCCTGGCAATGACGGGAAATGTCTCCAGACATTGGGAAATGACCCAGGATGCATGGAGGCAGAGGGCGTATGGCAGGGTACAGGCAACACTGGCCCCGGTTGGGAACCACTGCTGTAGTAGAATGGTTACTTAGAGTTTTGGTAGAATTAGAAACTCACCTGTGGGATGAAAATATTCTCAACATCATGTAAACTACAACTACAATGAAATATTGCCACACAGCTTTTAGAATGGCTTAATACTTGTCTTAAATGACAATACCAAGTGCTGGCAAAGATGTACAGAACAGACATTTGATACACTGCTGATGGGAATGCAAAATAGGATGGTCACTCTGGAAAACAGTATGGCTGTTTCTTTTTTTTTTTTTAGAGAGAGAGATATGTTTTGTGTGAGCTCACTAGAGAGACAGAGACAGAGAGACAAAAATGAGAAATTATCCCCACCGGGAAGGATGGGCATGGCGCAATCCCTTCTCCATTCTCCTCTCAGGATTTTGGGCACGAATGCACACACACCCAGTGGGAGTTTCAAGTGCCAGGTCTAGGACTTGAACTGCGGTTGACTATGTGGGAGTCCAGTGACATACTCACTACGCCATCTTCTGGTCCCAATATGGCAATTTCTTATAAAACAAAATTAAAACTAACTTCTACGGGCCAGCAGGTGCTGTGGTGGTTGAGAGGCTAGACTCCTACATGGCCAACTGTGGTTCGAGTCTTGGTCCTGGAGGCTCGCTTCCTCTTTCTCTCTCTGTGTCTCTTCCTGGTCAAATTGAATAATAATAATAATAATAAAAAATTAAATAATTCTTTTAAAAAAACCCTAACTTATACACTTACTATGTGACCCAGTAGTGGAATTTGCTAAGAAGAAACACAGTGAAATGTAAACTTATGTTCACGCAAAGGCTTGCATGTGAATGAATGTAGCAGCTTTATTTGTAATCACCAAAAAAGTAGAAACAAGGACCAGCAGATGGCAAAATGGTTGCATTGCTGGACTCCCATGTAATCTACCATGGTTTGAGTCTTGGACTCAGTGGCTTGGAACTCATGCCAGGTGTGTGTGTATGTGTGCCCAAAATCCCAAGAAGAGAATGGAGGAGAAGGGATTGCAGCATGGCCATCTCTTCTGGGGAGTGACTTCTTGCTTTCTGTCTTTCTGTCTCTTTCTCTCTGGTGAGCACATGCACCCTATAGTAAAAATCTCTAAAAAAAAAAAAAAAGTAGAGACAGTCCAAATACTCTTCAACTTATGTATAGATTGACACACTTTGGTTTATATACATGAGGAACACTACTCAGCAACAAAAAGTAATGAACTATGTGGAGGGTTATTTCCAGTACTGGAGTGGTTTCCAGTGGTCTTGACCTACTCTCCCTGGAGGCTGAAGAACTTGTAGAAAGGGAAAGGGCTGTCCACTGTTTGAGTGTTGCTTGACTTCATCTTGTGAGGGTGGAGAGAGGAGGACTTGAAGGAGATCTCTTTTGCATATTTTCAGATGCCCAACAATGGCTGAAACCAAAGAACAAGATGCTCAGAGACCCCTCAACCAAGCGTTTGCTAGGCCTGGACAGAACATTTTACTTGGTCTTCTATAAGTTTTTCCCCAAAAGAATCCTTTTCAATTTTTTGCTTCAATAGCATAGCTCATTTGCTCGGATCTTCCAGAGGCTTGAACTTCTGGAAGTTTCTCCCAGGAAGCATACAGGTAGCTTGTTTGTTGGGATCTTCTAGGCTTTCCAACTTGACAGAAGGATCTTCTCTTGATGCTTGGGGAATTTTCATTTTTTCACTACATTAAATTTTTTCAATCTGTTACCTTTTATTGTAGCTTCTCTTGTTATAATTTATTTTATAAATGTGTCCCTGCATTTTCATATTTTAAAAAATTAAATAGAAAAGTTAGAATAGGGAAAGTTTCCCTGTCATTTCCCAAGTCCCACCTCTCCAATGAGATAAGTTTTGCCTACCCTAGCCTGCAGTCTTGTCTTCCTTTCCTGAGCTCTCTCAGTATTTATCACCCACATCATTCTCATTTTATGCAAATCTATGCATCTCTTGTGATCACATGCCATTAGAAGCACCATTGGGGCAGGAATTTTTAAAATTTATTTTGAATCTTTTACTTCTTGTATTGAAGAAAGTAGGTGGTTTGATGATGAGAATGATAGTATCAAAACAGTAGATGTCCTCCTCTTTATCTGGTTTAAGAATGTATTTTTTTTTTGCCTACAGTGAGTTTTTAAAAGGCCAGATTTGGATAGAAGGAGAAGGAAAAGTGGGTGTAGAGAGACAGAAGGAGACTAGCCAGCATCCCCCTCAATCACCTCAGTGTGAGAAAGTTATGCAGATGAGAAATGAAGAATTTTAATTGGTAAGCTTACTCATCTGGAGATAAGGGGTTTTACAGGCCCCACAAAGCCATCTTTGGGGCTGGAGTTACAGCTTCCCAGAGGGAATATTTTAGCTGTATCCCCACAGAGCTGCCAAGAATAATGTTTTTAGGTGTGAGATTGAAAACTTTTCCCAGAGGGCTATCTTCAAGGTCAAGGGGACCATCTGGAACTGAAATGAGAGATCTACTGACAGGCAGGGAAAGACTGAGTGACATGAAACTCACTGGGGGGGGGGGGGAATGGCATCTGTCCCCCTTGTTGGAAATTATTCTTATTCTTACTAGTCTTTTATTTTTTAAAAAATGAAAATGCAGAGAAAGCATTCATAAAATACACCGTAATAATAGAAGTTACATGAAAGGTAACAGAGTAAGGGAACCAGCAGTTAGCGTAATGGCTATGTTGCTGGACTCCCACGTAGTCGACCGTGGTTCGCATCCCGGACCCGGTGGCTTAAAACTCACGCCGGGCACGTGTGCGTGCGTGCCCAAGATCCCGAGAGGAGAATGGAGGAGAAGGGATTGCGGCGTGACCATCCCCCCTGGGGGGTGATTTCTCGCTTTCTGTCTCTAATGTCTCTCTCTGTTTGTCTGGCGAGCGCACGCGCCCTATAGTGAAAATCTCTCAAAAAAAAAAAAAAAAGGTAACAGAGTAAAAAATAACTTCACTAGAGTGAAAAATGAAAACCTGCCAAGGATCGAGAGAAGATCCTTCTGTCAAGTTGGAAAGCCTAGTAGATCCCAGCAAATGAGCTATGCTCTTGAAGCAAAAAATTGAAAAGGATTCATTTTGGGAAAAACTTAGAGAAGACCAAGTAAAATGTTCTGTCCAGGCCTAGCAAATGCTTGGTTGAGGGGTCTCTGAGCATCTTGTTCTTTGGTTTCAGTCATTGTTGGGCATCTGAAAATATGCAAAGAGATCTCCTTCAAGTCCTCCTCTCTCCACCCTCACAAGCCGAAGTCAAGCAACACTCAAACAGTGGGCAGCCCTTTCCCTTTCTACAAGTTCTTCGGCTTCCAGGGAGAATAGGTCAAGCCCACTGGAAACCACAGCGGTACTGGAAATAACCCTCCACATTTCCAATGTGCATCGTCTTTGTTGAAGTCCACTTAGATACCACCCACGGCCTTGGTCAGAAGTTAGAAGGTGAAATGAAAAACGTGTCATTAAAGTAATTGCAAATGTTACCTAGAAGGACAAATTTAAAGTTCTGTGCCTACAAACCTTCATCTCACTTTGGTTTCTCTGGTGTCATTCCACAGAGGTCAAGTGTACGAATACTCGGGAGGCTTCTTCCCTCTAAAGTGAATGACGTGCTTAAGATGTTTTCTTGAAGCAAGATGGGGAAATCTGTCTTCTGAGTTCCAGCTCTTACGAAATTTGGAATGACAAAGTGCCATGTTGGAATCCAAGCTTGCAGGTCCACCTTGACATGGGACTACTTACTAAGAGATAATAATGCTGGAAGGGTTGTGGCTTCAGAGTGCGTGTTGTGGAAATCATGTAAATATGTATATTTATACAATGAATTATGAAAACCTTTTGAAAACAAACCAGGGCATTTCCGTCACAGACCTTGAGACTCCAAGAAAGTTGTTATGTTTTATTACATCAACTACCATTCACCAGCATGGGGTCTTTTTGGAAAATACTGCTTTGTGGCTTTGGAGCAGCTGCCGCCTCCGATGGACGGTCTTGCTTGCTTTCCCCCTCGCTGCTGCCTCACCCACCAGCGCCCCTGTGCCCCGACTGGCCCTTGTCCCCACTCTCTGGCCAGAGGAGCAGCAGCAGTGAAAGAAGTGATGAAGTTCAAGCCCAACCAGACGCCGACCTATGACCGCCAGGGCTTCAAGCAGCCGGCATGCGGATACTTCCGGAACGCACAGGAGGACCAGGTGCTGTTGGTATCAGAGTAGAAGAAACACATCTGATCCGTCCCTGCAGTACCACTACCGTAGGGCACACACAGAGGAGTGTTGGGTACATGTTTGCTGACACCTGCATGTCTGACTACGCAGCCCTGGGATTTCTTCTGCTGACATCATGACATTAACCCCTACATCATTCCGGAACACAAAAAGATTTCATCACATGCTGGCTGAACTAGGTAAGTGTCTTTATTATGCCTCTTTGTGAGGAAGGCTCCAACAGCTTCCTGAGGCTAAGAAGAAAATGAAAGAAGCATGGTGTCGTCTTTGCGGACAGCTAGAAACAAAGTGCTTCTTCCCTGCCGGATGGAGTGTTCCTTAAGAAGATGGACTTCATTCATTCCAGGACAACATGCCTTAAGAAAGTGAGAAACGTGGTGGCCTTCGCCTCTGGTTCTCACCCAGTGTCCTCAGAATGGGGATTTCCCTTAGGGTCTCGGTGTTCCTTCTCCACTGGGGTCTGATGCAGCCACCCAATTACAAGAGAAATTTACCAGAAAAGATAAACTAAGAAACCACAAACCTCCTTATCTTCAAATTAACATGAGGGGAAATTCATAGCATCTTAGCAAAAAAGAAAAATCTATTTTATAACATACCAAATATCAGGATGAGTGAGTGGATCTCGTGTGCTGGCGAGACAACCATGGAGCAGGTAGACCAGAAGTAAGATGTCCTACCGCGATGTGGGCAGACCTTCTGCAGGGTGTGGATTGCAAACAGAAAAGATAAGGTTAATAACCTAATGTGATAATACAAATTATCGATAGTCCAAATTCATATACTACCAATTCTATGTGACAAAGAATTATTGTCTGTTTAGATGAGAGATTGAAGTAGCAAGACATAGGGAAAAAAAAGCAACAAATAGAACAACAGCAGCAACAAAAAAACCCCACTTAATTCTGGCCATGATAGAGTGGCTGTCTGGTCTTTCTCTCCTGGTACAAATGACTAGAATTCAGGACGAAACATAGGAACTATTCTTGCTCTTTGCATTTCCATTTCATCTATAATCAGCTTGTGAAGTTCCCGATATAAGTGTGTGGGGATTTGGGAGGCGATTGCATTGAATCCAGCTGCCTATCAATTTGAGGAGAGCACTTTTTAAATACGACACCTGTTCACCTGTTGCAATCTGTGCTCAGGAGCAGACCGTTTCTTCTCTCGGAGGATCTGCCACCTCCACTTTCCGGTGAAGAGGCATCTGACTAAGCGTTCCAGTCTCAGAATTTTGATGAGATATTACGGAGGGACTTTCGTTTCCTGCAGCAGGCATTTCTCAAGGACAGAAATGGTTCTGGAATCCTATGGTGAAAGAATGAGTGTGAAGGGAAATGGACCAAAACCAAAACCCAAACCAAAAACCACAGTCTTGACTGAAATTCCATCTACAGGAGGACCTCTGTTCTGTCTGTGAGTTGCAGAAATCAGTTTCTTAAACACGTCTTTTTTTTTTTTGGAGAGGTTTTTGCTATAAGGAACATGCGCTTGCCAGACAGACAAGAGAGAGGAAGAGACACAGAAAGCAAGAAATCACCCCCCAGAGGGGATGGTCACTCTGCAATTCCTCCTTCTCCATGCTCCTCTCGGGATCTTGGGCATGCACGCACATGCGCCCAGCGTGAGTTTAAGCCACCAGGTCCAGGACTTGAACTGCAATCAACTACATGGGAGTCCAGCGACATAGCCATTACGCTAACTGCTGGTTCCCATCACATCTTTTTTTAAAGAGAGATTTTTGCTATTAGGAGTGCATGCTCTCTGGAGAGATAGAGATAAAGATAGAGAACAAGAAATCACCCTGGGGAGATGGCCACGCTGCAATCCCTTCTCCTCCATTTTCCTCTTGGGATTTTGGGCACACATGCACACATGCCCAGTGTGTTTCAAGCCGCCTTTTCTGGGACTCAAACCACAGATAGCCATGTGGGAGTCCAGCTACATAACCATTTCACCATCTGCTGGTCCCTTTAAACACGTTTTAACTCAGATGAGAAAAGCAGTACTTACTCCAGAGGAACAGATTAGACGTGTGTGCCCCTTGCTCTCCTCCGCCGCCTCTCACTGGTCTTGCTGCCTGCTCCGTGGTTACTGATGGAGCTGCATAGAGAAGGCAGGTACAAATGCAGAGCCTCTGGGAGGATGGCTGTCCAGGCAGGTGAGGAAGGGAACAGGCTGACCCGAGAAAGGAAATCGTCAAGATCTCTCTGGCAGCGGAAGGGAAATAACATGATGGAGATGAAGGCGAAGAGCAGGTGGTAGTGAGATGACCCAGGTGTGGTATGGGAAGGGGCCTGTGACTAACCAAGGTGACACTCCAGGCTGCGTGGTGACTGCCATCTTGTCACATTTTGTGTGTCCAGCAGGCCGGGCTGCTGGGAATCCAGGACAGCAGTAGATCCGGCAAGTCCGAGCAGCACCGGAACTGACCCAGCAGGAGGGAAACCATCTCTCCAGGATGCGACCTGCGGCTCATCGACTCTGGTTACAGGTGGCTGGGTTGTCGTGAGAATAAGAATACAGGGACTAGCAAGGGCTGGGAGGAGGAGTCGGGGCAAAGATGATGTGGTCCAGGAAATGGGGACAGTAATGGACAGGGTGGTGGAGAGGGCTTGGTTTGTAGATCACAGAGGAAGAGTTGGGCATGGAGAGCCTCAAGACAGGGTAGCGGTAGGAGTTGGAATTAGTCAGGGGAGGGAGACAGGTAGGGCAGAAGAGTGACAGAAGGCATCGTAGTGGGGAGTGGTCAGAGGGCTCACATACTGAGGTTTTTTTGCTATAGGGTGCGTGCACTCGCCAGACAGACAGAGACAGAGAGACAGAAAGCGAGAAATACCCCCCCCCCCCCCGGGGGGGGCCCCCCCCCCCCAGAGGGGATGGCCATGCTGCAATCCCTTCTCCTCTCAGGATCATCTTGGGCACGCACGCACACGCACCCTGCGTGAGTTTTTAAAGCCACCGGGTCCAGGACGCAAACCACGATTGACTACATGGGAGTCCAGCGACATAGCTTTTACACTAACTGCTGGTCCCAGGGTTCATGTACTGAGGAGGAAGGGTAGGAAAGTGGGTTAGATGAGTGTGGGAAAGAAGAAAGTGAGGAGGAGGCTGGGTTTGTGAAGGATAATTCAAGGTAGCTTTCCTGTCATCGTCTTCAGTGGCTCTGTTAGATCCTCGTCTGGTCGAAATGAGTCCAGATGAGTAACTGGCCAGGTGCCCAGACCTCCTCCAGCATTTCTGTCACAGCACCCCCGCATCATCCCGTGACTGAATGCCCATTATGACACGCGCAGACCTCCTCTGTTGGTCTCCTGACTGGGCCCCACCTGGTTCCTGTTTGTAGGTTTAAAAGTGACCATGGTAAACAGCAAAGAGTAGAAAGGGAGCAGTTACATTCGTCCCTATTCTTGGGATAACACGTAGTTTTATTTTCCATTGGCAAAGATTGGTCAAAGCGTGAAGATGGAAGCTGGAGTTTGGGACCTTGGAGGTGATGTGTGATGCAAGAATTGGGAACTGGAGTGTCTCACTGGATTTTTTATTTTTTTATTTTTATTTTTGGAGAGGTTTTTGCTATAGGGCGTGTGTGCTCGCCAGAAAGACAAAGAGAGACAGAGAGATGGAAAGCGAGAAATCACCCCTCGTGGGTATGGCCACACTGCAACCCTTCTCCTCCATTCTCCTCTCGGGATCTTGGGCATGCACGCACATGGGCTTGGTGTGAGTTTAAGTCACCAGGTCTGGGACTCGAACCGCGGTCGACTACATGGGAGTTCTACAACATAGCCATTACGTTAACTGCTGGTCCCATGGATTTTTTATTTTTTAACATTTTTCCTTATCTCGTGGTGGTATGATGTTTTTTTTTCTATATATGAATATAATGTGTAATGATTAAAAGGATAATTACTAAACATAGTCTAATGTCCAACTTAAAAAAATATATTGCCTTGCAACAAAATCATGAGAAAGCCACAAGAAAAATAAGGTTAATAAGTCCTCCCTCCAGACCACTCTACATGAATTAAGGAGAAAAAATATGTTTTAATGCAGGAAAATTACAAACTGTGATAGGAAATAAGGATAAGTTGAAGCAAGCTCTAACATAAGGGGAGATTCCACTAAAAAAAAAAAAGGAAAAACAGATCTTTACTTTTTTCTACTTTTTGTTGATGAGAGGTGAAATCATTTTTTCTGGAGTTGGAGGAGTACGCTTTTCAGCATCAAAGCACTTTTATTTGAACAAAATTTCTCCATGAATTTAAAGCAAAAGTATCCAGGCTGATGAGTACTCATTTCAATGTTTAAAAGATGTATCTTGGGGACCAGCAGATAGTGTAATGGTTACATCACTGGACTTCCACATAATCGACCGCGGTTCAAGTCCCAGACCTGGTGGCTTAAAAATCACATTGGGCATGTGCGAGTGCATGCCCAAAATTCCAAGAAGAGAATCAAGAAGAAGGGATTGCGATGTGGTCATTTCCCCCAGGGGGATGATTTCTTGCTCTCTCCCTGTCTCTCTGGAAAGTGCACACGCCCAATAGCAAAAATCTCTGTAATAAAAGAAAAAAGCGCTCCCCTGTGAGCCAGAAGAGACATGGAGGTTAAGGCAGCTGGATTCCATGTGGCCAGCTGCAGAGTTTAAGGACTGGACCTGGTGGCTTGAGAATCATGGTGGGTGCTTGTGCATGTGTACTGAAAATCCTGACAGGAGAACAGAGGGGAAGGGATTGTGGCATGGCCATCCCCTTTGAGGGATGCTTTCTCACTTTCTACCTTTCTCTCTCTAGTGAGTGCACAAACCCTATAGCAAAACTAAAATAATAAAAATAATAAAATCTGGCCCACATGTGAGATCGTCTGTCTAAATCTGGAATGAAAATTAATCAGACATCCTTAGACACCTCATGGTGCTGCTGTTGGTAACTTTGGATTGCCACAAGATAGAGACCTGATCTCCCTTCCATTGTTGTATCTTATATTTCTTCCAACTCTCTGGGATCCCTCTTCCATGTGTTTTCTGTAAAATCAACATAATGGTTCATGGTTAAAAAAATACTGACTTAGGTGTGAGATTTGGGAATATAGGCTAGTCACAGGGAGGTTAATTACTAGTAAGGTTTTATTGTATCTAGTCGATTCACCTTGATTTGGTGTCACTTGCTAATCAGGTCTTCATCTGGATGTCAGATTCTGCTTCTCTGCCCCTGTCCACAGCATAAGCAAAGTTGCTATTAATTCTGTCAGTCACTGGGCAGGTGGAACCGCCTCTCAAGGTCTGAGATCCAATCCCTTTCTGGTATCCCACTCACAGCAGTCTAATGGATTTAGCTTTCCCTGTTTCACTGAGCCTTTGTCTACCAGGGCAAATTTCCCTCAGCCTCAGCTACAGCTCCTGGTTTTTGAGTCTTTATATTCTGTTGTGTTGCTGACAGTTGATGATTTTTTTTATAGAGAATTCTTATTTATCTTTATTTATTTATTGAAATTTGACCAGAGAGGGATGGAATGGGGTGGGGGGGGAGGGAAAGGGAGAAAGCAAACCACCAGGTCTGGAACTCAAACCACAGTCGGCCATGTGAGAGTCCAGCACCTTTAACCACCACGTCACCTGCCGGCCCCCAGTTGAGTAATTTTTAAAGTCAAATCGATTATTATTATTCTGTTCACATCATCAGTTATTCCAGCCCCTTTACTTGAAACTACTCATCCTGTTTCATTGGCGAGGGATTTTTTTCAAGTATGTATATATTTAAGGGATATTGAAAATAAAACTAAAACCATGCTGGAATTTCCAGAAGTGTAGATTTTTCTACAGAGAAAAGTAAAATATTCAGAAGAATATCTATAGCTATTTGGCAATACCCTCCCCCGCAACCAGAAAAAATGAGTTTCTAGTTCTCCACAAAGCAATCCATTTTAATCTGTTTCTAAAGGAATTGTTCCATCCCCCCCCCCCATTCTTTCATGGGTTGTTACAATATTCTGGTAGTACAGTATGGCGGACAAAACATCTACGGAGAAGCCAACATTCAAGCTCTGTTTACTTAGCCTATCTGGGCTTCAGTTTTCTTATTCTAAGATGAAAATAAAACTGGCATCTTTTTTTTTTTTTTTTGGTAGAGAGTGCATATGCATGCATAAGAGAAAGAGAGAGAGAGTGAGAGACCACGGACAGGGTTTCTTTACACCACAATTCCCTGTCCCTAGCCCTCTAGCTCCTCAGGATCCTGGGTGATGGTATGTTTTAAGGCTGACTTGAGGATCTGAACCTGTGATCCCCATTGGCTTCCAGCCTTGCAGAACACTTATTACTGCTGTGTCAAAGTGACTGAGCTACAGCTTTCCTTTTTTTTTTTTTTTTTGCTATAGGACGTATGCACTCACTGGAGAGAAAGACACAGAGAAAGAAAGAGAGAAAGGGAGAAATCACCCCTGAGGGTATGGCTAGGCTGCAATTCCTTCTCTTCCATTCTCCTCTTGAGATTTTGGGCACACACACACACGTATGCAGAGTGAGTTTTATGCTGTCGGGACCAGGACTCAAACCATGGTTGACTACGTGGAAGTCCTGTGATATAACCATTATGCCATGGTCCCGCTATATCTTTCTTTATAAATAGTCTTTCTTTCTTTTTTTAGAAAAGACTATAGTCTTTTCTTTCTTTCTTTCTCTTTCTTTCTTTTCCTCTTTCTCTCTTTCTTCTTTTTCTTTCCTTCTTTCTTTCTTTCTTTCTTTCTTTCTTTCTTTCTTTCTTTCTTTCTTTCTTTCTTTCTTTCTTTCTTTTCCTCTTTCTTTCTCCTTTCTCTCTCTCTCGCTCTCTCTCTCTCAAGTCTCAAGTCTCTATGGCTCACAAACTATCAACCTATCACTCAGAGCTTCTCCACACTACCTAGCAAGAACAATCGCTAGTGATGAGGATGTTCATACTAAACTGGACAGAAGACATGCAACATATCTAAGTTGGACCTCTGTGCAGCTGTTTTAAAAAACAGGACTTGTTTAGGGACCAGCAGTTAGCATAATGGCTATGTCGCTGGACTCCCATGTAGTCAACCGTGGTTCGAGTCCCAGACCTGGTGGCTTAAACTCATGC